TAATTTAAGTTTTCTCATGTTAAGCTCCCTGAATCCACACTCATAACTCTGTTCAGAGAAACGCTCGGCAAATTTGGAAGGCACATTTGTACTCAGCATCCAAAAACACGTCTAGCAGTGTAGGTCTTATTTCAAATGGCCACTTCGACTTGGGATCCTTCCCTGCTTAGCTGCGTGCCATCGCTAATGTTGTCCATCATCATCTCTGGGGTTGGGTGAAAGCAGAAAGCAACAGATCCCAGTCTCAATGTACTATTTTGATGAGAGATTAGTGACAGACACTTTTATAAAATTGGTTTGCTTTTTTAGCTTTCTATTCGTTTTCGGGGATGTGATGTCTGTGTAGTCATAATTTTGGCCCACCCTGTACATTTTGAGGTAGTTTCTAAATGTCGAGAAGCGTGAACACAAGGAGTAAATGGATGGAGATCTCTTGCTGGTGACCACTCGTAACCAAACAATAGGTCCCCTTCGTGGTGAATGATTGCAATCGTAAAAGGATCTGCTAGTGGGAAGCCGTCTCCGCTTGTGCACGTTATCTCAATGTGCTCTTTACTTTTGACTGAGATAAAAAGCCCATCACACTAATCAAGTGCCTCTAGAATAAAGATGAACTAGTAAAATGCATCCCATTACGAGTCTCTCGATTTTCAGGAGCAAGTGGCATGTTCCCAGACAGATGGCTCCCAGATATCAAACCTCTACCAAGCGTATCAGTCAAGGTGGAGTGGGTCGATGGATGGTACGACACTGAAGCTGCGGGTAGGGTAAGTGATGATCTATCCCTTGCCATCGAGCTTTTGCGATGTTGCAGTTTCAATCGTATCACGACTTCTTTACCTTTCCAATTGCTCAATTCCAATACTATGGAGTTGAAAGGGTGAAAATGTTAAAATCTTGTGGCGTCAATCGATCCTATCTCACAAATATGCCCCGCATTCGACTTGCATTCAAAATCGTAGTAGCGTATTGAATGCAGTTGTGACCTATACAATGATTTGCGGTGGCCAGCCAATGTACAAGCCAATGGTTTTATTCTCAAAAACGAGTTTGTTATCAATTAGCGGATTCTGGAGGGATGGAAGGCTTGGTTGGCCTAGATGGGCATCGATCCGGGGTTTGAACCCTTGACCATACGTGTGTAGTAGTGCGCCACTTATCACCACAACACCTCCGCCTCTACGGAGTTACCGTACATTATTGTGGAAGAAACTGAATGGGCAAGTAATTCACCCAGAGCGATGGGGTACTCAAATAACAAGCGAACCTATTGAGTACCGTTCCACGCCGTGACGAGAATTGGCTAGGAAAACAGGAAAAGATGTCGCTGCGCAAGTAAGTGTTTCGCTAGTGTTCAGATGGGTAGACTTGAAAATCATCTTAGGAAAGATGATAGTATTCAATGGTTAGAAGTGATCTCATCCCTATGACTAAGTCACCGTAAACACAGCGCAATAGCGATGACATCGTCAGTTTAAATGTGCAATTTGTATCGTAACTCTAAGACCATGTAAAGTTTGTAGAAAGTGGTTTGTAGGAAGGAAAAAAGACTACTGTAACGAGCCACACGATTGATTCACGGTCAGAGAACCAGCTAAGTTTCACTGCGCCATATTGGGGCTTCAGATTGACGAAAGTGGATTACTTCATGTTCAATGAAGTAAAGATTTCACACTGATCGTTGCACGCAATGGGAATTCCGGCAAGTTTCTGAATTCTTATGATTACTGGGTTAATGGCTGGTTCCATTTTCAATGCGTATACACTCATGGCACTAGCAAACAAGAGGCTGAAGTTTTACGGCGTTAACCGGGTCTTTTTTTAAGGATGCGCCCCGCAATCGATTTCGTCCAAAATCGTAGCTGCGTTTTGAATGCAACTCAATTAGGGTTTGGGCAGTAGCTAGTGACCCAGCATGAATGATGCCGGATTTCGGACCAGATTTCATTCATCCAGCCTAACTTTTCTTCTACAGGATAAACCGAACTTAATCAGCCTCCCCTGAGGTATCAGTTGACTTCCCTATGTCATTGTGAAGAGCAAACACTTTATCGAACCCTGCTACGGCTTCGGGTAGGTATTAAATACCGCAAGTGAAATCGCTGAGTGCTTCCTTCTTTTCGTTTACATAAGTGAACTTTGGTGAATGCTAGGAGCAAGCGATGACTTCGATCGGGTGAATTAGGATGTTCAATTGTAGCAATGAGGCTTTGTTTCGTGCCAATTAGAAAGAGGTACAATTCTGCAAACCTGGTGTCATCAAGCTTCCTTCGAAATGGCTAACTCTACCACCCCTCTAATGGTAAGGTGGCGCAGTCAACCTAATCCCCCGGTAGATGAACCACCCCATCGTGTCCCCCCTCTCCTGAAAGACGGGAGCAATAGTAGCTCCTCCACGCATCTGGGACTCTTCCTTTAGTGGTCACATTGTTAGGGAATGGAGCGAACCCGTGCTTTCCAAGCGTTTTCCATGCCTTGATCGGTACCCCAACAAGACCAATTGCCCTACCAGTTGCCTCTGAGGTGACTTGCTCCTGCTTTGGATTTCATTGAAACAGCGCCATTAATCAGCTACAGTAACGGCGACCAAAGTGGAGGCACATCCAGAGCATTTGCTTTTTTCATTTTGATTCACCACATCGGTGGTTCATATCAAGTTTCCTTGGTTTGTTTACGATTTTTGTGTTTATGGCGAGTTGCCTCTGAGGTGACTTGCACCTGCTTTGGATTTCATTGAAACAGCGCCATTAATCAGCTACAGTAACGGCGACCAAAGTGGAGGCACATCCAGAGCATTTGCTTTTTTCATTTTGATTCACCACATCGGTGGTTCATATCAAGTTTCCTTGGTTTGTTTACGATTTTTGTGTTTATGGCGATTATCAACAATCTTTCAACGCAAGTTGAGTCTGACATCTATTTTTAGATTTCAAGGCTCCAAGACGGTTGTATGTTACTGCACGTCCTCTTCATCGTTTTTTCTCTTTTTTTTTATGCAAAGATCGAGGGGTTGCGTTCCTGGCCAGAGTGCGCCATACATCCAAGTTCCGTTCGGTTTCTGATGGGGTTTTGAATGCGTAGTCGGTCCGCACATCCTCACGTCCACATCAGTGTACATACTGTTCTGGACGGGTTTGGTACTGTATAAGCAACTCCCAGACGGGTGAGAGGTTCTCCCAGTACGGAGTAGACCGTCAGATTATTTACCCGAACTACCGCCTTTTGCTTCAATAGGAGAAAGGATTCTGGTATCTTTAACTGGACACTCCTTGCCTGCATGAGCGCCCCGACGACATTGTTCTCGGAATATTTACCAGGATATTGACTTTTGTAGCCCCAAATGGCTTACCTTAAGTACTCGGTGTGTCATCTGGTATCTTTAACTGGACACTCCTTGCCTGCATGAGCGCCCCGACGACATTGTTCTCGGAATATTTACCAGGATATTGACTTTTGTAGCCCCAAATGGCTTACCTTAAGTACTCGGTGTGTCAGTATTTCAGATACGAATCAAAATAATCAATGTGCGTACGGAAAAAGAAATTGAAAGACAGTGAAACGAAGGGAAGAACAGATTTGAGCGGTCGACCATCACAAACACCTCAGACACCACTTCCACCACCAGCTCCAACAAAAACGCTCACAGAAGAGGGCGGTAGCATTCGCCAGGAAGGGAAATCTTCTGATATTCAGGTGGGTATAAGACGAAATGATTCATGAGTGGACCACCTTCAGGATTACTCCATCTTGACCAGCGCAAGCTTTTTGTGATCATTATTGGGCACGCAGTATAATTCCNCCCCCCCCCCCCAAGCACTGAAAACTGCCGTTTCTGTTGTTTTCGAAGCTGTGGGGTTTCGCACTCGGATTGCCACTTCCCCCCGCCCTCTTCATCCACAGAATTGACATCATTATATCCATATCAGCTGCCTCCTTTTCGAGCGTAGTGAAGTTAAAAGAGGCAGTTACTGTGTGAGGGCGTAATGTAGCCTTTTGACTACTCCCCAACGAAATCCTCAGGTCCTGTGGGTGAGGGCGGAGCGACCTTGTTGTCTATTATCCACCCACTCTGTTATCGCTACGCCCCCGCCCACAGTAATCACATAAGGATAGTGGATAATGACCGGAACTTTCTGCTTTTACTGGATTTGTTTGATAGCTTCATTCTTGCCCTAGTGAGTGCTACCCATACCTCTAACATAAGTTCTTTCCAAGCAGGCAGGCAAGGGATTTCAATCTAAACTGGGATTCTTATTTGGTCAGAAATTATACGAAAGAAAAACTTGTTCATCCAGACGGAACAAGCAAAAAGAAATAATTATTTTCAGGCAAAAGGTGAGGATTTGTCTGGCATGCATTCTTCTGTAAGTGGACAAAAGACTGATGCTTTCTGGACAATCTTCCTCGAGTCTAATCTCTTTCGAGAGTTACAGAAAGGACTCAGCTTGTTTTATTTGGAAACTCAGATACCCAGTTGCATCTATCTAGTTGTAATTCCAGATGATAAGAGGGAGCCACTTCAGATCAAGGTTCCGCCGCCGCGTGTCTTGTGAGTAGTTCCTATTAAGCACAATTAAAATATTTCGAAAAGCACATCTAACTGGAAAAGAACGGGCTCGGGAATCCGTTAACACAATGTTGGTCAGGGAATCAAATTCTGGGACAGCATCAGCTTAGGTCAACTAAGGCTCCTAAGCCTCACAGTGGCTTCTAATCGAAATTCCTTCCTACCTATGCCCCAATGGATATAAACGGGACTGAAAAAGCAACCGAGTTACGCCCTAGCTGAATCCTGTAGGTTTTAGAGGGGAGCAGTAAGTGGTGTCCGGTCTCTTTCATTAGACTTTCCTCTGTGAAAAGGCTAGTCAGCTTAGCTTGCCCCACATTTGATCCCTCGAACACCTTCATTCAATGCGATTCCCTCAATCATATTGCTACTTACACTATACTTACTATTTACATAAAAACTATACAAAAGTGTAAAGAATATATATATGTCCATACCATAAGTTTATGGAACCCAGTACATTTTCTTTTTGAACCTGACCTTTCCTCTTTAGGAAAGCACGACGTGCCATGGTTGAAGTGAAGGAGGCTCGCGATCCTCTCTATAAGACACTTGAACCGGACATGAGCGAGTGGGAAAGCGTAAGGCTGTTGAAGAAAAGCGAAGTGAATTTGGAAGAGCTTTTGAGAAAGGGCTCCAAGTACGAAGACGTCACTCAGCACTAAAATCGTTTCTCAGTCTCATCGCCTCATTTGTCTTGGACCTCTTCCACATTTGGGACCTCTTCATCTGTTCCATTAGTTGGCAGTGCCTGCCTGAACCGCTACCAACGGGTTAGGGGATTTGATGGGAGAGTTTGAAATGTGAAAGCAGGTTCCATACACCTCAGCAATAAGCATTATTACTCAACCTATTATCATATCTGTTAATTATTATTAATGCAAGTATTAGAGTGTTTTAATAAATCATTTTGGAAACGATCTGCGGGTCTTTTGAAAGATGCAGTACCAAAAAGTTCGTATCGCAAACAGTTACATAGGGCTGGTAACGGTGTTTCAACAAAGGTGGTGCAGTAAGGCAACCGCAAACGCTGGTACTCGCCTAACCATCACTAGGATGGAAACATGTCCGTCCAACCATCTACAGGGTCATGCTTCCAGACCACTTTCTACCCCGTCTCTTTTCCACCTTAACCCTTCCTCATTCATTAGATCAGTCGCTCGTAGTTACAGAACTCGGCAAAGCCGAAGAATCGAGCGAAACAGGGAAGAATAGACCTGTTCAGGCCCAGTTCCAAGGGAGAGGGCCATAATTGGGGTCAATTTTTGTCGCCTTCTTTTGCTTTACTCTGGGTATTTCAAAAAACTCGTTCGAGGTTCAGACTTACATGTGTTTTTACTGCCCATATAATATTTTCCATTGACGCTTTGGAATTCAGTTGGATCATTGGCGAGCATAAGTGCAAGTTCTTTTCGCCCAGATAGATCCTTCATATGCCAATAGTCGTCCAGATGTGCATGAGAAAGTGAGCTAATTTTGTATAACTCCCTTTGCACTTTGGGGACAGCTTGACCTAAAAATTTCGGCCGCTTTCATTTTGTGTAAGGTTCTTTTTCCAAACGTATATATCCTGCTTACGATGACGTTTCTCCAGATGTACATGGGAAAGTATGCTGAGTTGCCAACATGGATCTTCACGAACGGGGGGAAATATTAATTTTGTTCGGACAAATTCAATTACTTCATATGCAATAAAGTAGGCATATCCATCTGGCATCAACCAATAAAAGCCGATTTCCCCTGCGGCATTCCTCACTCTGACGATATGCTCATGACGTTGACGCTTTCTCTTTTTCAGGTATTAAAAGTTTTTTTTGTTCAGTTTAGATGCTGAACGGACATTCCAGAAGGTTGGACCGTTTTTGAACAGAACAGGTTTTTCCCAAGTCTTTGAATTCTAATTTTGGTTACTGTATTCAGTCAGGTAGATCCGGAGTATCTAGGTGAGGACAGAGCTGAATCCATGGTCGGACTTCGCGATATCTTTTCTCCCGAAGACGACGACTCAAACGACTTCACTCTCCTTCCCCCTTTCCAGTTCCCCTAGCTGATGCTTGGAGACCGTCTCTATTTCTTATACTTTCGAGTGGCTTCCAGGGACTAAGCCCTCCTGCCGGTTCTGTCAACGCCCATGGGACGAGGCTTGGGTATTGTCGTTAAGTATTAGATAGTAACTGTAGGTTACAGGAGTTTGGCTACCTCAAAAACCACGGATCGGCTGTGCTCAACTTCATAAGAGAATACCCCGCTGTTCTGAAGTAATCCATGGTACAGATTGTGCAACTTCGTGAAAACACCGTAATCCTGAGCTTCCTCCATTTGGGTGCGTTAAGGAAATTGAGAAAAGTGATGACCTTTCGATACTCCCCTCAATTTCTCGGAAATTGGTGATAGGCTACGATATTTGAAGGTTATTTAGATAGGCATAGCCATCGAGAACATTCCAGGAGAACAGCTGTAAGCGGGGATTTCTTTCGTAGCTAATAGGGTAATGTGGTTTTCTTTTTCCCCTACAACGTCATTGAGGTTCACATCTGGGAACACAACGGTTTTCTTATCGCCTTTAGCTGGAATCTTCCAGAAAGTTTATCGAACGATGTAAATCCCGTGATTAGCAAAATCGAGTACTATAGTAATGCAGAAATACTGTAATATCCTGCGAGTCACTGGAACTTCACATCAGCTATTCCTTCTACTGGATAGATTCCCAGTGTCTTTTACATTTCATCAGCTCACTCATGTATTCATATCACGCGATAGTTCATAGAAAGTTCAGGGAATCAAATTGAAAACCACGCCCCTTTGAAAATTGTACAAAAACCCTTTGACGTGAACCTTCTTCAGTTATGTTTGCTTTGGTTTCAGGAGAAATTGAAAATGCTTTGCCATGAAAGACAAATGCCAATGTTTCTACATCTTATCAGCGACCTTTAGGAGGAAGTTCCAATTTCTAGCCTCAATTCGATTGTAAATGATGGCCTATCCCTAAAATTAGATACAGAATCTGATTTGAAGGTGCATTGGCCCTTGGCAAACTCAATTTCAAGTGAAAGTGGGCTTGCCAGTCCAAACCAGTTCGACCTTCTCGACTTTGTCGCAGATGGTTCTAGCAAAGCAATTGGGCCGGACGTTGTCGTCGTGGGAGTTCTATAATGTACTCCACCTATGTAAGCTCCTAAAATGGATTTACTGAAGGGTGCGTAGGGGAGAGGCATGGGAGTTTCTATATCGTGGATCCTTCTACTTGGGTTCGATCCTGTTCCTGGAAGCTCTTGATCCTGAAACTGTAAACTGAGGTACCGTGACCCTTTCTGATCAGCATTGATTGACGACGTCGCACCACAGGGGTGCCATCGCCTATTATGGTTATGCTGCCTTTCTCATCAATCAATTCTTACTTACTTTTTTCTCATTTATTGGCCTTAAAATGTATTATTTAAGTGCTACTTACTTACAGTAATGCAGTGTTGTATTCATGACATATTATTCAATTTTACCCATGCATTTGATCTGATTTCTGGTTCCGCGACTGTCTGTTCTTCAATCAGCTTCATCGTGGATGCCTATTCGATATCATCTTTTGCTAGTTATCTTCCTTCCTGGATGTTTAATCGAAACCATCGTTAGCTAGTTACTGTGGTGGAGCATCCACGATGCTACATACCTGAAATCTGTCTATAAGCCTGCATAGCATGGCCTGATATTCTCAGAGTACTTGACTCCTACGTACCGACATCTTGCAAGTATTCAATTTGTAACTTCAGTAGATTCGTTGGTATTGAAGTTTGATTAATTCCCGAAGAATAGCACTTTTTTGATATGGTCCTACCGGAGAATTCCGCAAATTCGATTACAAAAAGAAACCAAGCGTTACAGTTCAAACCCATTCGACCTTTTCGGAACATCCACCTCAAACGATACCTTTGGATCGGCTAGTTCCTTAAACCTAGAAAATCTCTGTTTTTACTTATACGGGGATTTAGATTCAGTAGAGCCTTACGGCTGCATCAAGTAAGTAAATAAACAAATAAATTCGTTTGCAGATTGCTTGGTATTGGATTGCTCAGTGCAATTTTTAGAGCAGAACCAGTTTATTACTCAGTTATTTGGAGAATAGGGCTGTGCACTGGCACTTTAGGTGTTTTCGGGAGTTATTAAAATATATTAGCGTGTGGTGTCTATAAGTTTAACCTCCGAAACGCACGACACAGTTCCCCAACCACTTTCAGTTCAGTGCCTTTCTGTCCCATCGGGTAATGGTGTTGATTGAAGGTGAGCTCATTGCCTTTCTGTCCATCCCGGATGATGCTAACGATCGGAGACCTTTGTCTCCTTTATGGTTCCTCTGGCCGGAGTGCTACCAAAAAGTCTATGATATCTCTTTCCTTTCTCCTTCTCCCCAAAATTAATCACGCACAATCGAACGGTCCGCTGCTCTTACTAGGTCTCGGTACATTTGCTGATCTGCAGCATCTTCGGTAGCTAACTTAATTCCGGAGGGATCCTTCTTAATCACGTCCTTCCACATTTACTTTGAGCTTCCTGATGGTCGCTCTTCCTGAACTTCGAATTCCATGTATGGCTTCTTTGATCGGATGATGTTTTGTTCTTTGCAGCACATGCCCATACCGACGTAGCCTCTGATCTATCATTTGCTTTTGTATGGGAACTGCCTGCATGACTGTCCCGAAGTCGTTTTCAACCGGACCTAATCGTGTCCAACCGCATGCCCATCTCAACATCTTCGTCTTGGCGGAACAGAAATGCCCGCAGAGCATCTTGGGCATCACTGCAGCCCTGTAAATCTTTCCTTTGAGTTTCTTGAAGCATCACAGAGGGCGTTAATGGACTCCCCCCGATCCATCTATGTATGTCGTATTTAAGCGAGCTTGTACAACCTGATCTGCAATGTCGTTAGCATCCAGTCCCTTCCAAGGTTTCTTACTTTTTCCACTTTCTCAACGACTTGTCACAGCAGTCCACAATTGGCTGTGTGCTCCTCTGAGCTGGGTAAGTTGGTCCTCTACACAATTACCCACAGTCCAGCC